GGGAAGGAGACGGCGCGCTTTTCCCCCTTGCCCTGCCGGTTGGAGCAGTTCGCGGCCGCGCAGCAGATCACCATCTCGGGCCTCGGGCCGCCGCGCCGCCGCCTGGCTCCGGCCCTCGTCTCGCCGCGCCGAGCCCCGGGCGGGACCGCCCCGAGGGGAGGGCGCGCGGCGACACGGCTGCGGGACGTGGGAGCCAGCCCCGCGGCTCCCGCCGTACGGCAAGATGGCGGCGCCCGGCCGCCCGCCGCCCGGCCGCCAGGCCCGGTCCTCGGCGCGCCCTGGATACCCGGCACCTGGCGGGGCGCAGCCCGTGGCTCGCGGCGTCTAGGGTGGGCGGGGGCGCCCCGGGCCGGCATCGCCCTGCGGCGACATGGCGCATGGGGGGCATCCGTACGGCAAGATGGCCGCGCCGGCGGGCCTGAGCGCACGACGGGCTCACGAGCCCGCCCCGGTGCCCTGCTGCCCGCTCGCGCCTGCTTCCGCTGCCCCGGTGGGTCGCTGCTGGGATTCCCGGAAGCACGACGCAGGCCGCCGTGGAGCCGAGCGCGCGGGCCCGGACCTCCGCGCTGGGTCCGCCGTACGCCAAGATGGCGGCGGCGCACTTCCGTCGCGTACTTCCGGCCCCGCCCGCGCCCGCACCCGTTCGGCCCGGATTGGTCACGGCGGCGGCCCGTCGCGTCTCTCTGCGGAACCGTCGGAGCGACGCCGGGCTCAGTTGGCGGCTCTGGAGGGAAGATGGACGCAGGTGAGGGTCGGCGGGGCGCGGGGAGACCGGGGCGGCGCTCGCCGGGCCGCTTGGCGCCGAGGTCTGGGCCGGGGCTTCGCCGGCGCGGCCTGGGCGCGGGGCGGAGCGGGGCCCTGGGGCGGAGCGGGGCGCGGGCGGCGTCCGCGGGAGGCCGGCGCGGGTCTGACAGCCCCGTTTGCGTGTCTCTCGCTTTTCCGGGCCGCCCACAGCGCCCCGGCGGCCGGTCCCCCGGGCCCGCGGCCGGCTCGGACGATCGGGGCAGCGCGGCGTCCGGGACGGCGGGTGGGGACGCCGAGCGGTGCTGGAGGCCGGGCGGAGCCGGTCCATGACACTGCGGTGGGGAAGCTTTTGTCCGTTCGCTAGGAGTTACGAAGGGGAAACTTTCACTCTTATGAAGTTACGGGGGTGGGCTGGAGGCGAGCAACATACTCCACCACTCAAACCATACGCATTTTTTTTTTTTCAAATTCAGTAACCAGTAGGTGATCTAAGCGTTTTCCGTGACTGAAAAGACGGACTGAATCCATCTCATCATGTCTTAATTCTCTAACACAAAGTGTGTGGGGGCTGGGGTGGGAGGGTGTGTGCGTATACGTACGTATGTGTACATCTGTGGATGTGCTGTTGTGCTCTGTTTCATCATGTTTCTGCTCCAGGGGGGAGAATTGTTTAATTTTTGCTGGCACGCTATTTTGGATATTTGTCCAGTATCCTTGAAAGCATTCTTACACCTTGAAAGGCCCTCTTTTTCATCCCACAGCAGTTTTAGTTCTTTTATAACTTGTAGGGAGTGATTTGTATTCAAGTATCCCTACATCTGTAAAAACTTTCTTCTGGTTTAATTCCACCTATCATTCTGGATGGCATTGTTTTTGCCTCATTTTTTTTTTCCTGGTAGCTGCAGTGTAAATTTAGTGAATTCTCAGTTTGGAAACTGTAATATAGACCTGTATGGCCAATATTTCAGTGACTTGTGGCATCTTGTCACTTAAGTCACAAGGTAGTAGGACAGAATGGTAGCCATGACTCCCGAAACATGATGTTAACCAGAAGTATTGTGAAGTTGTTCAAAACAGAAAAAGTACTAGGCCCGGGGTCGGGGAAGGAATAGAATTATTTAGTCATCTACTTTCTTTTAGGTTATGACTGCTTGGGTGCCTAAGAGCATTCACTGGGAGACTCAGGGTGGAAGAAACAGTTTTGTGATGGTCGTTTTACGTTAAACGTGAAAACCATCACGTTAAAGTTGAGTAGCCACATGGCGATACCTCATGGGACACAGATCACTGCTTCAAAGCAGAAAAGCTGTTCACGTTTGAAGGCCTCTCCTGATGCTAATAAAAACGTATATGACATTTGTAGGGTGTTGTGGAGAGTTTTCTTTCTGCTGTGGTGCTGTACCACCTTTTAGGATGATTAATGGTCCAGCCTCCCCTCATCCCTGGAGTCCTTACAGATTCTGCCTTCCTTGCCAGATGTTATGCAGTTCCTGGTTGTTTTTATAGTCATCCGTTCAATAACTATACTTATTACTGAGTGTGGGTTTGTGTCTGGCATTGTTCTAGACCCTGGGGCTAGAGAAGTGAACAAAATAGATAAAAACCGTGTGCTGGCTGACATGCTAGACACGACACCCACGGTGTGGCTCTTGGGCGGGTGACGTGGGTCAAACAGGAGGGGTTTGGAGTCGCCAGGATGGCCCAGAAAGGTCTCACCACAGAGGTAACTTTTGACCAGGACTCAGAAGCAGTGCTGGGGGAGGGCAGGCGTCCTGCTCCGGGAGCATCCAGTGGCCAGTGAGGCCAGGGTACAGTGGGTGGGGGTGAGAGAGCTGAAGACGGAGCAGTGATGCGGCCCAGGTGAGGCCTTGTTGGATCGTGGTGAGGGCGTCCGAGCGGGCAGAAGATACTTCGGAGACTTTGAGAGGAGGAGTAACGCGACTTGCTCGGGCTGCCCTCCTGCAGATGGGCAGCAGCGAGGCCAGGAGACCAGTTAGGAGGTTGTTGCAGTACGCCGCGCGCGAACCCTTGGAGGCCTCGGTCAGCGTGGGGAGAGGGCGTTGACCTCTGGCTGCCTCTGCAGGTTGAGACAGTGGGACTGTACCAGTGGGACGTGGCGAGGGCAGGGTGGAGAGGGAGGGGCTGGAGATGGTGAGGTTATGGCTTGAGCTGAGACACTCAGGTGGGGAGACGTGGGGAGATCCCACTTGGTGGGGAGCTGTTAGGAGTTTGGTCTTGTACGTGGTGACCATGAGGTACCTGCAAGATGTCCATGTTGTGACGTCCAGAGAGCCTTGGGTCTGCAGGCCTGGAGCTGAGGGAGGAGGGCGGGGCTGGAGGTAGAACTGTGCGGGGGGCCACTTTGGACGAGGTCACTGAGGGTCTGAGTGTGGGAGGAGAGAGACAGAGCTGGGGATGGGGCCCTGGGGCTGCTGTGTAGAGGTCTGAATGTGTCAGGCAGGCCCCAAGCACTGTTCATTCAAACACGCCCGAGGGGCTTCCCCGGTGGTGCAGTGGTTGGGAATCCGCCTGCCAACGCAGGGGACACAGGTTTGAGCCCTGGTCCAGGAAGATCCCACATGCTGCGGAGCAACGAAGCCTGTGCGCCACAACTACTGAGCCTGCACGCCTAGAGCCCGTGCTCCGCAACAAGAGATGCGACCGCAATGAGAAGCCCGCGTACCACAACGAAGAGCAACCCCTGCTTGTCACAACTAGAGAAGGCCCGCGCGCAGCAACGAAGACCGAACGCAGCCAAAAAAAAACCCGCTCCAGTTGGCACTTAAATCAACACGCTGTCCGTTCCTTGAGGACAGAGCCGGTGTCTTGTGCTTCATCTCTGGTACTTTACATTGTGTCTGGTATGTGGCTGGCCATCGAAGAAGCAGAACTTGAATTGGTGTTAACGCACACATCCCTGTCCTGTAGACGTTCCTGGGCTGCAGAGTCTGTGTGTAACGGAAATGCAGTGTGTTGGCGTCAAGTGTGGCTGATGAGGAGGGCAGCTCACTGCAGGGCAGCAGGGCTCGCTGTGGACGCTCTGTCCAGCGTGGCCACTGAAGCGGCGTGTGCAGTATTCTCATGCCGCTGAAGTTCCAGCTTTTCTTCCCTTCCATTCTCCTTCCCTTCCTTCCTTTTTTCATTCGGAACTGAACCACCAGCGTTTTCATATAAACTATTTGGGATTTGAAAAAAGTATTTGCAAACCTGTTATCTTAATCATAAGCATTTTCTGAAGGAAAGGAAGATTCCTTGTTCTAATTTTATTCATAAAGCATATATAATATATGTATTTACGGAGTATAATCTTTCAGAAGCATAAGCATTTTGAGGAAATGTCTTTGAAATGTGGTACATTACACTTAGCTCTAAAGGAAAAGTAATGGTGCATGATTTTTGTCGTTCTCCCTGGATGAGTTATGTAATTGGGACTGTCATGTGGTTACATTTATGGAGCACAGTTTGCTATTTTCTATCATATTAATAACATTAAATTGCAACATTTTAAAAATGGAATTGCCATTCGGTTAAAAGGCTTTCCACTTCCTCTTCTGGGTGTGATCAGGGACACCCTAGGGAGGAAGAGGTGGAAAATCAGGCGTTTGGGACCCAGGTGACCAGGTGGGAAAGGTGTTTCTAAAAGGCTTCTTTCTCAAGGTGGATGGTGCCTGTCTTGCTTCTGTGTGTCATCTTATTTCAAATTAAAATCATGGGACTTCCCTGGTGGCACAGTGGTTAAGAATCCGCCTGCCAGTGCAGGGGACACGGGTTCAAGCCCTGGTGCGGGAAGATCCCACATGCCGCAGAGCAACTAAGCCCATGCGCCACAACTACTGAGCTACAACTACTGAGCCCGCGCATCTAGAGCCCGTCCTCTGCAACAAGAGAAGCCACCGTAATGAGAAGCCCGTGTACTGCAATGAAGAGTAGCCCCAGCTCGCCGCAACTAGAGAAAGTCTGTGTGCAGCAACAAAGACCCAACGCGGCCCCAAATTAATTAATTAATAACAAAAAAAATTTTTAAAAAGATTTAAAAAAATTAAAATCATTATCTGGGCATCTGGAGACTGGACTTCTTTGGGAAGTTGGGCTCCTTTTAACTCAGGAGGTGTGTGAACTTCAAATGAAATGATGTCGGATGTGAAGGTGCTGAGGTTATCACAGGGCTGTGGTGTGAGACGAGGTAGCCCTCTGGGCGGAGTGCGGAGGCTGCTGGCCTCAATCCCCAGTGGAGCTGGTCAGTCTGAGAACAGTCGATGAGGAACCTTCGAGGGTGGGCTCCTCGTGTTGGTCGGCCTCTGTGAAGCTCAGTGATCGCGAACTTTAGTTTTAAAAGGGAAAAGTATTAGTTTTTCTGTTGGAGTCTTTTCTGGATTGGTGTTCTGTAATGTTTTCTGTTCTGCACAAACATGAATACATATTTATGGCTAAATTAATACCGATGATAAAACAAAAGTGTTGTTTGGTTCAGGGAAGGGGGAATTTAGTTTCCTCTTGTAAGTAATGAGGTCTGAGATCACACGAGGAAGAGGCACAGAAGGTGCTCAGAGCCATGGCTGGGGGTTGCCCACGGTGCTGGAACCCGTCCTGTGTTCTCAGCCCACTGGGCAGAGCTGGCAGCTTCTCCCCATTTCGTGGGTGAGGAAACTGAGGCTTAGAGATTTGAGTCGGGTGTCATACAGCTAGCGTGTGGATTCTCTGTCTCCAAAATCAAATCTTAATACAAATTAGGAAGTTGAACACTGGAGGTGAATGGAATTCGGAAAAGTCTTTCATTTCTCCGTTACACAGGCTGAGCCGAAGGTCAGGGAGCTGGGGGTCCGGTCCAGGTGCCCCGGCCCGTGGCCTCGCGGGTGGGTGTCAGGAGGGAGGGTTGGTCCCGTCCTCTGCGCAGGCCCGCGGGGACTTTCTGACAGCGGCCCGGGAACGAGAAGCCCTCCGCTCGCCGCTCTTCTGGTTGAAGCCGCCGCAGGTCCGTCTCTGTGCTGCTTTCCTGGGTGGAAGCCTGAGGACAGTGAAGCAGCCCGGGAAGTGGCCGGCGGCCCTGCCCTTGCGAGCGGGCTCCGTTACCGGGTCTGGGTCTGGTAAAGTCACTCGGGCGGTGGACGTCGTCCCGGGTGTTGCACCTCCCTGTGGTCGCGGGCCTTGGAGACGAGGTCTCCTACCCGCTTCAGCGATGCCCCGCGTGCGCTGCCCATCGCCACCCAGTGAGGATCAGAGCTCTTCTTGTGTGTTGACGTGTTTCTTCCTCCCATGAGCCTCGAGGAAAGCAGCACCACTCCTGCTTTACCAGCGAGGAAACAGGCGCGGAGGGTTCCCACGGGGGGAGCGACGGACTTCTGGCCCCGCGCGCTGACCAGATGCTCTGCCCGGTGCCCCGTGTGGCCCGGAGAGGGGAGCAGGGCCTGCGGGGTGTCCGCGGCTGGTTCAAGAGGCAGGTGTGACCCGCACCCAACAGGGGGCAGGACTCGGGTGGTCCTGCCATCAGGAGGAACAGGGAGGTGTGGACCCAGGGGACGTGGGGACCACCTGCATTGTCACCTCCCGGCTGCACCTGAGCTGCCGGGCCCTGCGGCTGCCACCTTGCCCATTTTTTCCCTTCAGGTGCCTCACGCAGTGAGGACTCTAAAGGCTGAGACTGCACAGCCGTCATTCTGTTAGTTACAGCAGGAAGCTCGGTGATGTGTTCTAACTTAATAGGTAGGACACCTGTTACTACCTTCCCTCTGAAGTTGGCTTTGTTGCCTATAAAGTTGGCTCATTACCCTGAGAGATGTGCCTGCTTTGCATGTGGTGTCTTTGGAGATGAAAAATCCCCTCCACTGCAGGGCGGCCGGCCGTCGTCACCTGGCTTTCAGAACGAACCTTGTTTCCTTCTCTTCCTTATCTGCTTGTCTCCCTCGTGGTGGTAGTTTTCTCACTGTGGGAAGCTAGGTGTCTCAGGAGTGTCTCAACAGTCCTTTGATGTGTGCCGCGTCCCTCTGTCGCTCAGAGCCTCCAGCGTTTAGAAGGCATGTCTGCCTTCAGTTCAAGGCTGCAGTCTCCTGGGGTCTCGGTCCAGCAGGGTGAGAGGTACAGTCCCACAGCGCTGTCAGTTGAAATCAGGTCTTGTTTGCGTGCTTTTTTCTTGGAGTCATCTTTGTGGGTTTTGAGCGTACGTATCGTTTAAGCCTCGAGGTCAGAGAAGGCCATGCTTTCTGAAGATGTGGGGTGGCTTTCGAGGGGCAGCAGAGACACATGATGTTTTCAGCTCCTTGAAAAGGTAGAACTTTAACTCATCTCAACTCGGTTTTTATAATCACCTGCAGAAACAAGTAATCTTATGTAAAAAAGGGGAGAGAGAAACTTGGACATTAAATTATTTACCCCTGATCCCAAAGCGGCCTGGCTGACATCGTCTGGAGAGGTGTGGACAAGCAGACACATCAGAGAGAAAAGAATGTCTGGAAAGACATGTTCCCTGCCTTGCACCCAGCCCTCTGGGCAGCAGAGCTTGCTCTGGAAGCACAGGACTCCTCTGACCCTGTTGGATTTCAGGTGAAAAGAAAAAAGGCAGAGCTGGGTCTGGGTTCCCAACGTTCGAGAATTCTATTTTTTTTTTCTTTTTGCAAGGGGGAGGATCCCTTTTTTTAAAAAAAATAATTATTTTTGGCTGCGTCAGGTCTTAGTTGCGGTATGGGGAATCTTTTGTTGCGGCTCGAGGGCTCAGTAGTTGCAGTGTGCGGGCTTAGTTGCCCCGCGGCATATGGCATCTTAGTACCCCGACCAGGGATCGAACCTGCGTCCACTGTATTGGAAGGCGTATTCTTAACCACTGGACACCAGGGAAGTCCCAGTTTGAGCATTCTTGAAGCGGTGAACACAGGGCCTTCTGTTGAAGCGGATTTGTTCGTTCAGTGAGCGCTGCTATCCCAGCCCTGTGACTGTGAATTTGCTGTGCATCCAGTTAATCCTTTTGGATGTAGTAGAATTGCTTGTCTTCGTCCTTGATGTTAGTGACACCAGCTGATCTTGGAGCCTTTTGTCTGCCAGCCTCCTCGTGAGCCCATCATGGGAAGGGTTTCAGGGACACTTCAGCGCTGCGCTGCCGGGCATCCTGTTATATGTTCCGTTTTATGGGTGAGGGGCTTTCCACACCAAGAGGCTAAGTGCCTGCTTGGGAACCTCCAGCCTGTGAAGGCCGGAGCTGGGAGGTTGTGGGATGTGGGCTGGCAGGGATGTGCGTGCAGCAGGACACTGTGAGGCCCTGAGACATCTGGGTGGGGTGCTGCGACCACCACGTGGAAAAGGATGAAGAAACCACAGGTGTGGCGTGGCTTCATTTATGGATCTACACATACAGGCTTCTGGAAGGAGAGTCAGTGCTGGGCACGAAGCTGAGGGTGATTTTTTACATTTTGTAGTCTTCGGGGTTTTTATTTTTTTTTTATAAATGGCATATGTCATTTTTACCGAAAGGTAGGGCTGTTGAAAAATAAACTCCGGTGTGGGGGAAACGCATTTAATATCTTTGATTTTCCAAAGAGTTGAGTGCAGGTGAAGGGTAAGAGAGCACTGTGGAGCTGGTGAGGCAGCAGCTGGGGAGATGGGGTACCTGGGACACACTGTGTGCCCCTCACCTCGCGGGCAGTGGCTGAGCTCTGTCGCCTCCGGGGCCGTGTGCAGAGGGAGGGTGTCCTCTGCCGGAGCTCCAGGGCGGTAGGGACACGGCCTCTCGAGCTTCTTTGTGGAAGCCACACAGAAGGGGGTGCTCACAGAGGAGGCGCTCAGGCCTTGGAGACACAGCAGGTGGACGCTGCTGCACGCACGGCACCTCCTTAGGAAGTTGGGGTGCGCCCCCCAGGATCCAGGCCTCGCGGCACCCGGGACCTTGAAGGGCTTTGCACTAGTTTCAGGAGGTCAGTGTCCCTCCCAGGAGTAGTGCTCTGCCCCTCTGCTGCTCACTGCATTACGGCTCCTAACCCAGAAGTCGGGATGGCCTGGGAGCCCTGGGACGGCCAGGAGAGCTTGCTCGACCTTCTGTGCCATCTGGGGCCGTCCTCGTGTACAGAGATAAAGGTTTGGGCTCTTGTGTTTTTGTCTTTTTAGAGTTAAATTTAAACCAGTTAAGGGCTTAAATCAGGTGCCTTTTTTCCCCCTCCTTTCTGTGCCCTGGGCCTGGCCCCCAGCTGGTCTCTCACCCTTGGGTCTGCCAGACAATGACTCTGTCTTGAATTTGAGAGGCTCAGGAAGTGGGTGCAGGGCCGCTGCCGGGTCGCGAGTGTTTGATTTCTCAGTGTAGTGGTGTGGCTGGTGCACTGAGATGCAGAATTCCATGTGTGCTCTTTGTACGGAGATGCTATAAATTATCTCTGATGTTGTTTTATGAAATCATAGAACTGTCATCAGAGTGTGTCTTTGCTTTCCATAGCTACTCTGACCTACGACACTCTCCGATTTGCTGAGTTTGAAGATTTCCCCGAAACCTCGGAGCCTCTTTGGATCCTGGGTAGAAAGTACAGCATCTTCACAGGTACCAGCCCTGCCGGAGCCTGCTGTGCTCTGCGTGCTCAGCCTGCAGAAAGGACTGTTGGGCGGTGGTAGTTATCTGCTGTCTCTGTAACATGTGCCCTGGAAACTGACGGCTGTGTGTGCATGTTTCTTCTCTCGAACGCTCTCTAGAAAAGGACGAGATCTTGGCCGATGTGGCGTCGAGACTTTGGTTTACATACAGGAAGAACTTCCCGGCCATTGGTGAGTACTGTTGGTTACAACGTGGGATGAAGCGCGTGTGATTCAAGAGGAAAACTTAGGTTTCTAGCTTTGACTTCAGTGTGTCAAGTACTTGTCACTTGGTGTCATCCTGAGGCAACCCTAGTTAAAGAAACCGGCTGAGGTCTTGCGCCTGGTGGTGGCAGAGCTGGATTCCAAACCCAGGGCCCCTGATTCTGCTGAGGCAGTAGAGCAGAACGGGGCGGGAAGCGGTGTGGCACGTCACGGTCGCGCTGCAGCCTGCTGCTCCCGGGGGGCTCGTGTGCCTGTGCATCTGGTGTTGTCCTGCGTCGTAGCTGTACAGCGTGCTTCTTGCTGTTGGTCCAGGATGTTGGGACGCCCTTGCTCCGTACCCGTTGCCTTTTCTAGTATCTCCCACACCTAGTTGTGGTGGGAGCTGAAGGTGGATGTGACGTGTTTCACGTGATACGAAAGCATGTTCCATTGAAGTGATTCTCCTCGCGGTACCCCTGGAGGTGGACAGATGGGGCCTGGCTCCGCGCCTGGCCTCTGCCAGTCAGAGAACCCCAGGCCGAGGTTTGGGACCAGGAGGCGGCCCTGCCTTGGCGGCCTGTCTCGATTGGTCCCACTGCTAGATGTGCTTCCATCCGTCCCCCAGAGCTCGACGTCTGGGAACACTGGAAGGTAGGGGGTGTGGCCATCATCACCAGGGTTAGTGTCTAGTGACAGGGCTTGTCAGACATGCTCGGGAAATGTTGGTTCATCCAGCAAAAGTTCTCCTTTCACCCCTACTTGGCCCTGGACTCAGGGGTGGGGTCGCCTGGCCTGTGAGGCTCACTGTGTGGTCAGGAGGACAGACACCTGACCTACAGCGTCCTGAACCCATAGGTGTCTGAACCCACAGGGGCAGGGCAGGCTGGAGGGCAGCCCTGTGTTTGGAAAAGCCATCGGGTGGAGCGTGGTGGCTCTCCCGGCCGTGTGGTCTGTGTCGGCCTTGGCCGCGTGGAGCCGACCGTGTGGGGCGTGGGTGGGTGGCTGGGGCTGTTTCTGCACACCTGGCTGTGCCTCCCCCAATCCCACCGCTGCCCCGGGAGGTGGGCCTTGTCCCCTGCGTGTGTGTGCGGGAGGGGCTGCCAGAGGGGCGGGCAAAGGATGCAGCCCCCCCACGGTGGCCCGTGTGGGCTCAGCGCTGTTTCCTGTCATCTTAGGGCCTGTCTTGCGCACACCTGGTACCGCGGTGCCCAGCATCAGAGTCTCCCTGTGCCCTGGCCGGTGGGCGGCGTTTTCCGCGTTACTCATGAGGCTGAGCATCTTTCCATGTTTCCAGACATTCTTTTCTCTCTGTGACTTGTTCACGTCTTGGCCCATTTTGAGGGGGTTGTTAGGACGTTTCACTTCCCAGCAAACGCAGCCTTGGTGTGAGCAGGTTCACGTGGCATGTGTCGCCTGACGCGGAGGTGACCCGTGCGTGGGCTCCTGGCCTCGGTCTGACGGTGAGTGCCTCTCTCTCTCTGTCCTCCACGGCAGGGGGCACCGGCCCCACCTCGGACACGGGCTGGGGCTGCATGCTGCGGTGTGGACAGATGATCTTTGCCCAAGCCCTGGTGTGCCGGCACCTGGGCCGAGGTGAGTCAGCCTGGGGCGGCCACGTCCGCAGGAAGCCAGGAGGGTGGTGGGGCCAGGTCGGCGGGAGTGGGTCACCACGAGACGCTTTAGGATTTGGGGTTTCCTTCAGCGACAACCCAGTGGTTCTCGTCGGTTAGAGAAAGGGGCTTTAAAGAAATGTTGATAAACGTTTGTCTTGTAGAAATTATTTTTGAACTACTGAGCCATTCTCTCCTTTCTGTATGGATTTGTCTTGATGTGTTGGCATCTGTGTATTTGAAATCCCGGAGAACTCGGTTCTTAAATTTAGAAAGGTTCACGAGAGGTTTGGATACCACGAGTGCCTTGAGTGCCTTAGAGAAATGAAACCTTCTTGCCTGTATTTTGGTGAGACTGAACTTCGTCTGTGTCTTCCGTAGACTGGAGGTGGACGCGGCGGACGAGGCAGCCGGACAGCTACTTCAGCGTCCTGCACGAGTTCCTGGACAGGAAGGACAGCTGCTACTCCATCCACCAGATAGGTGGGGGGTGGCAGCGCGCCGGGCCCATGCCTCGGGATGCTGCGGCGTCGGGTCCCCGAGAGCTCTGGCGTGCTGTGAGGCGCAGGCCAGCAGGGTGGGGACGGCCCTGGGCCAGTGGTGAAGTGCTGTGAGGCGCCCCGTCTCTGGACACCAACTTGGTGGCCTTGGACGCTGGTCCTCCCGGGCTCCGGCCGGCAGTCCGGGCGCTCCTGTGTCTTAATCCAGCTTCTGAGCGTCGTGTCTCCACCTGTAGACGGAGGTGCGGGTAGAGCCCTGAACTCGCTCGCCTGGGCCATGTCCCCAGTCCTGCTGCCCGGTGCAGGTCGGTGGGGAGGGGACACCTTGAGGAGGAGTCTGTCCCTTTGGGAGGACGCGTCCTGGTGCCAGTCAGGAGCTCGTGCCCAAGGCAGGCTTCCTGTGACGCGCGCCTCACGCCACACGTGCTGGGATCGGCCTCTGTGAGGCGCAGGGAGGGGTGTGGGGGTGGCGGGGCACGTGTGCCGCTGACCGGCTCTGTTTCCTGCAGCACAAATGGGAGTCGGCGAGGGCAAGTCCATCGGCCAGTGGTACGGGCCCAACACCGTCGCCCAGGTCCTCAAGTAGGTGCCGAGCGCGCTCCTGCCCTCCCTGCGGGGTGGCACGGGTGCCCGGGGTGCTCAGCCTTGCCTCAGTCTTTGCTGCTGAAGGAAATAAGGGGTCTTGTCCTCTTTTCAGGACCCTCAGGAGGGTCCTCAGAGGTGACCGTGCCGGTGGTCTCGCGAATTGGGATTTCCGTTTCTAGTGAGGCTGAATGCCTTCATCCAGATGCAGCCACTGGATCGGGCCTTTGCTCCTTGTGTGTCGCGTCCTCTCCTGTGCCATGGTGTCTGGTGGCCTGGGAAGTGGGAAGTGGTCGTGGGGTGACGACACTCAGGCGGGCAGCCTGTGGCCGCCTTGGGCCTCCGCCTCTGCTCCCGCCCATCCCCTTGCCTTGAGACCACTGTCTTCAGCCTTGGCTCCCCGCGCGTCCGCCTCGCGCCTCTGCCGCCTGCTCCCGCGCTGCAGGAGTCCCCGTGGGCGCCTCCCTTTGCCCCTGGGCCCAGCGTGAGCCTCCTCACCTGCTGCTGGGGTCAGTTCCTGGGGTCTAGGACACTTGCTCCGCTTCCTGTCCAGCTTCCAGCTGATCCCCAAGCCCACTGTGTCTGTGTCTCCTTGCCCAGCCCCTGGGATTTCCAGCCCCCACTGCCCTTTAGCGTCCTGGCCCAGCCCCGCTGCCCTGAAGCAGCCCGGTCGAGGTCACAGTCAGTTCCATCATCATGTCCCAAGGCCGAGTTTCAGCCCCGACTTACTCAGCTGTCTACAGGCAGCCCCCGGTGTGGGTGCTTGCCGCGCTCCTTGGAAACCTGGGCTGCTCAGCTGTCCTCTTCTGTCCATCTGGTCGCCGGCACTGCTGAGCCCTGCGGGCTTGTCTCGCGCCTTTGGTCGCGGCTTTTCACCTCCTGTTTGCGCACGCACAGCTCCTGATTTGTCCCAACTCCAGACTCACAACCAGACGCTTATTCGGCAGTGCCCCTCAGATGCCCAAGGGGCACGTTGACCTAATAGCCCAGACCCAGAGCTGGCCCTGCCCTCTGCTCCAGTGCAGCCCACTGCTCCTACAGGAACGCAGCACCACCCTTCCAGGGGCTCAGGCCAAAAGCTGAGCACAGCCCACCCGCGTGTGCCCGAGCTCTGAGCAGTGCTCTCTGCCCCCCCGGCCCCCCCCTCGCCGCCTTCTCTCTCTACCATCCTGGCGTCTCCCTCCAAACTGCAGCAGAGTCTGCAGCAGAGTCACATCCTCAAGAAACACGGTGGCCATCTGTTCCTCTTCTCTCAGCTGTCCTGGGGTTTCCCGCTGCTCCCGGGAGGGCGGCAGGCACAGGCCAGCATGCCGGCCCTGTCCTCCCCCTGCAGTGCTGTGCCCTTCGCCTGGAGCGCCCCCCAAGGCCTTCCGCGTTGCTCCCCGGGCCTCTGCGCCGAGGCCTCTCCCACCCAGGCCTCCCTGCGCCTGCGTCAGAGGAGCGCCCTCCCCTCTGCCCCTGCACTGTGCTTTCCCCAGGCACTTAGCTCCCCTGGAGTGCCAGCCTCTCCTGGGACTTGGTTTCCTGTGTGTCCGCGTCTCTCAGCACGGGGGCCCACCTGGCCCTCGGTGAGCCCGGGACGGAGGGGAGGGAGGTAGCCGGTGGAGCCCTGCAGGTGGCATCCGCTCTGGCCTTCCCACCAGGAGACCAGGGGCCTCCGCCCTCCACCCGTGTCCCCAGGTGCGCTGGGTGCGCTCTCACCTGGGGAGCCCCTGCGCAGCCCCTAAGGTGAGCTCAGAGGCCTTCCCGTCGTGCCTTCGGTCGCGGAATCTGCTGTTCTTTCAGAACCGTAATTCCTCGGCCACAGTGACCCACCCAGCACGGTGACTCCCTGCTGGGCTCTCTGTCACCCGCAGGTTCTCTGTGAGAACTCAAGCCGGCCGTTGGCTCAGGGGCCCTGGGGGATACAATGGGACTGGGCCTGCCTCGGGCAGTGTCCGAGACCTGGGCTTACATTCTGGTTGTTGCCCGTGTCCAGCCTGATCGGGAAGTGGCACCCCGGCAGGCTCCTGCACAGGACCTGCCCTGCACGATGGCGGCTGGGTGTGGCAAGCGTGGGGCCCGGGCGAGAAGAAGCGGCCGGCAGAGGCCACAGGTCTTCGAGCTGTGAAGGCTCATCAGTGTGTTCTGCCCTCTCTGGTAGGAAGCTCGCCGTCTTCGACACGTGGAGCGCCCTGGCCGTTCACGTAGCGATGGACAACACGGTGGTGATGGAGGACATCAGTAAGTGAGCCAGAGCGCGGTGTCGTGGCAGACGGGACCAGGGCAGCTCGCTTCCCTGCCTGGCCCGTGGGCCCTTGAGGGCGGTGCCGGCCAGGCTGAGCGGAAGGCCACTTGGTGCCCACGCTGCTTCTGCATCTTCGTTACAAATAATTGACGCCTGTGTGCTGAGTTCAACTGCAAGGCCCTGTGTGTGCCCTGATGCGCCATGAAGAAGGGCGATTCACACTGGCCCTGGCCATCTCGTCTTCTGGCCATGCCAGGCGCTACTGGAAGTGTTTAGAATTCTGAGGAGTACCTGGGTTCATGAGGTCTCCTGATGGAAAAGCAGAGAATTTAGACACGTTGACAATGCTAATGGGGCTAGAAAACTACAAATGGGGGCCTGGTGCAGCCAGAAACCCACCCCTTACTAACAGGGCATTTGTATGGGCCAGGCCACGCGAGGATGCAGGGAGCCCCGAGCTCAGCAACGACAGTCCTGCTTCCCTGCGCTTGTTCCAGAGGCACCAGAGGGGCCGCGCTAGTGGCGACCATCTAGTCAGCAAGGAAAATGTTCTTATCACAAAAGAGCCTCAGAATCAGCGAAGCAAAACTTATAGTAAATTAAGAGAGACAGTATGGCAGATCGAGTATGTAAAAATAAAGTTACAAGGATGTGAATAATACAGTAAGAGCGTTTAGCGGAACATGTGTCAAACCCTAGATTCTGGTAGCAGAACATACCTTTTCAGAAATGTCCATGGGACATTTATATAAACTAATGCAGAGTACATAGAAAAAAGGACAAACTCTTACTACCTAGAAATGTCAAACTTCTGTTTTAGCTTTTGGGTCAAAAAGAGTCAAGTTTACAGACTACATATCAGAATCTGATGTGTACTGAACTCAGGAGAAAACACGTACCTTTAATACTGGTGACCAGATCATAAAAAGTGAAGATGAATGGGCATCCTGCAGTTCAGCTCAGTTCTGGCCCTGTCTGCACACCTGGAGGTGGCATCAGACCCACAGACTGGCCCCCGCCCCCAACTTAAGACCCCAGTGGCCAGTGCAGGTGGTCACCTGTGCTTCCGACAGACTGGCTATGGGTTGGAGGTTCCCACGCCCGTCTCCTTGGCTCTGTTACTTTGCTGGAGCAGCTGGGAGATCCAGGAGCACGTCACTCACTAGGCCACAGGTGTGTTTAAGGACACACCGCAGGAGCAGCCCGATGGAGGAGATGTATGTGCCTGGGCCTTCTGGAGTTTGTGGAGGCTTCGTGACACAGGCCCGTTTAGGTTTGGATCGGGCCTGTTGACCAGGAGCGTGCCTGGTGGCGGTGTCCACGGTAGAGCGACCCGGAAACGGCTTGCTCCCTGTCAGTAGCGCTGCCTCGGTCACCTGTTCAGGACGCACCCCTGGTGCCTAGCGGCTTGCGAGTGATCTGGCGGGGATACGTCACACGCACTGAGGATGTACTACGTCGGGTCTGAAACGGTGGTGTCTCTAGTGTGTGCACCCCTTCCAGTTTATCTGCTGGCGCTCTTCTTGGGAAGAGCCCTCTGTTCTCCCCTCTGCCCTCGCCTTATTTACATTTGGAAGACCTGTTTTTAGAGCCAGCAGCTTCCTGGATTCTGTTTTTAATTCAAGGTGTTATCCCTTATGGTCATTATTTATTCCTTGTCCCAAATTCGGCTGCCTCTTTGACAGAGTCCTGTCGTTTTTGTTGTTCAGCGTTCTCTTTCTGGCATTAACTAGACTCAGGCTCACCTGGTACATTCCCTGCCTCATCCCTGGAATCAGACATTTTCCCCCTGGTTCCTTTTAGTGGGGAAAGGTGTTTAGGAACCACGGACGGGGTGCCTGGTGTGCTTGGGGTACTGGAGTGGCTCTCTCCTACCACTGAACCCCGTAGTTAATCCGATTATTGAAGGATTACCCAGTGTGTTTAGACAGAAGAATAAGGAAGGAGAAAAGTTATCGCTCGTTGCTGTCCTTGCTGAGGGGGGACCAGAGGGGCCCTGGGTCAGTGCTGCGTCCACCGGGCTGGTGGCTCTGTGGTGCTTGTCTTATTATTGCTTCTAAGATGCATGTAAATGTTTTCTTGCATTATTTTGTGTGTATGCTTTATTTCACAATAAAAAATTTAAGTTAAACGCATAGAAAATGTGCAAATTTATTTTTTTTCCTCTCGGCAGCAGGGTTAGTGTTATACTTTATTTTCCAAGTTTGAGGTGTACTTCAAGTACTTGACTTTTTTATACTCGTTTCCTGTTAACAGTGTAAATCCTGTAACTGTTTCTCTTGGGTGAACTTCTGCCTACTTCGTTTAGCCCATAAAAGCACGTGTCCCTTTTTCAGGAAGGTTGTGCGGGAGCAGCCTGCCTTGTGCCGGGGCCGCAGCGCTTCCTGCAGGTTCCGAGCCGCGCTGTAACGGGCTCCCGGCCGGCCCTGAGGTCGCCAGCAGGCCGTCACCATGGAGACCGCTGGTGCTGCTGGTCCCGCTGCGCCTGGGGCTCACGGACATCAATGCGGCCTACGCGGAGACCCTGAAGGTGGGTCTGTGCTGGCCGGTGCCCTCCCGCCTGTCTTCCCTGCCCACCGGGGGGCTGAGGCCCCGCGTCCTTGCGAAAGCACTAGCTGTCTCCGTCTTGTCCGTTCCAGCCCTCTGACCGCCCTGCGGGCCCCCGGCCCCCGCCAGCTCACTCGTCCCTGCTGCCACCTCCCGCAGCCCTTGCCCCTCTTGCTGACGTGGAGCTGCTGGCCTCCCGTCTCCATCTCCACCCCCCGCCCCCACGGTGCGCCGGCCACTCCCTGCGCCTGTCCGCCCGGCGTGTGTGCAGGCTGGGCCGACCCTGTCTGCGCCTCCCCAGCCTCCCCTTGTCCCTTCCGGCTGCCCGGGGCTTTCCTGAGGACCTGCAGCCTCGGCATCCGGAACCCGCACCCTGTGGGTCTGGTCTTCGTCTGCGGTTGTCCGCACCTGGCGCTGCAGGGGGAGCGGGAAGCCCCTCGCTCAGTGGCCCGGCCTGTCTTCCGCCCCGCAGCACTGCTTCATGATGCCCCAGTCCCTGGGAGTGATCGGAGGGAAGCCCAACAGTGCCCGCTACTTCATCGGCTACGTGGGTGAGTGGGGTCTGCAGTGACGTCGGAGGAAGGGGCGTGGTCTCTCGGGCAGCCCCCCCCCCCCACTTGACAGGCAGTGTGCCCCCACCTGGCCGGTGCGACGTGTGCCCTTTTCCCGTCCAGCCACGTGGTGCTGGTGGCTGTGGTGAGGCAGCTCTGTCGGCCTCCCGCTGACCTGCCTGCTGCCCGCCCAGGTGAGGAACTCATCTACCTGGACCCTCACACCACGCAGCCAGCCCTGCAGGCCTCTGAGCACTGCCCGATCCCGGACGAGAGCTTCCACTGCCAGCACCCGCCCAGCAGGATGAGCATCGCAGAGCTCGACCCGTCCATCGCCGTGGTGCGTCCCCCGCTTGGTCCCACTGTCGCCAGCTGCACGCGCGTGTGCCCGGGTGTCCCGAGGCATTTGTGCCCAGTCCTGCTGCTGCTTTAGGATGAGAAGGAAGGCATCCCCGTTTCTGTAATCTCAGCGTTTTGGAATAAGTATTATGCTCACGTGGCTTAGAACTCAAAGGAGCACGAAGGGCTGACGGCAGCCTCAGGTGCGGCCCAGGCAGGCGTGTGCGCGCGAGAGTGTCCCGCGTCGCTGCCCTGCAGCACCCCTGCGGGGCTTCTTGGTCTGTCTTCACTCTTTAGAGTAGCCCAGTCTGCACAGCGGTCCCTAGGAATGAACCTCCTCGCTTGCTCTCTTCTGATTACACGGCTGGAATTGTTGGTTGTTCTCAAAATAGGTTTGAAAGAGGCCAAAAACACCTATAGGAATCATAACACCCCTAGGGGAGTGATTAACTGAGTTGTGGACATGACGAGGCACTTGGTCCTGAGAAGGGACGACCCCAGACGCACTGCCCATGGGTCTCGGTCGCGCCCTGAGGTCGGTGGCGGCGGGCTGGCGCGTGGGGGCTCCGCTGTCACAGGAGCCCCCGCCCCCCCCCCCCCCCCCCCCCCCGCTCGTGAACATCAGGCCAGGTGGGAGCGCGCATCCTGGCTCTCGTGGCCGCGGAG